GCTTGTGATTTTGCTATTAATTTTACTTGACAACACTGTCAAATATTAGGCCTACATTAACGGATTGTAACAGTAATAATAACAGGCAAATAATAATAATAATAATAATAATAATAATAATAATAACAATAATAACAATAATAACAATAATAACAATAATAACAATAATAACAATAATATAATAATCAGAGCTTCATGTGTCATTTTTAATTACACCAGTTATCTATTTGGGGGGAGCTTTCATGTACAGAAAAACACCTTTGTGTAATTGCATTGAGGGATGAATGGCCTGTGTACCAGTAAATTCCTTTACATGAATTGAGTCAGAAACCATAACTAATGATGGTCCCAACTGCCTCACTGGGTTTCTCTATTTACTCCTAATCTTTAGAAGAATAGTACAATTTTGGTTACAGTTTTGATATTACACATCACCCTGCGTGGTTCACATTTCACTCATAAAATAGTTTGGTGGGATACAAATTATGCTCGATATATTGATAACATAGGCATTCGAATCCATTCTCTTTCCTCACAAAATATTTTTCAAATAGGCCTATCTTCAATTGCACTTTAAAAACATATATGGTTAATATAAAAATGAATTCGTTATGATCACAATTTATAATGCATATTTTTCGTGGTCACGCAAATTAGATTTTTCATAAAGATTACCTATTTTTTTATTAATTCTAAATAGTGGCGCAATTCAACGTTTGTCGTTTGTTCAATCCGCCAGATGTCGCTAGAGGAATGCATATTTTACGCATTAGGCATGTTAAGTGTCTTTGAGACAGATCCCACGGATTTTCAAGGGAGAACGCCACAGTTACGTTTTGTGTAGCTCCCGACCCCACCCCCTCTCTCTCACCCTACTCAGACACCAGAATCTGAGAATCGATAGAGGGGAAAATACGGCTTTGGAACTGAAGAAGTTACAGTTAGTCGCGAAACTTTGACAAGTATTTGAGTTGCTCATTCCACTTTCTGGGACCCTAGTCACATGTCACGTGGGGTCAGAAAGAGTTCAGCCTGGTGAGGTAATGCCGTATGTGTTGCATGAGGAAAACATTGACAGGGCCACTTATAAACAAAAAATACTTCACTGTTGATTATGTAAACACTGAGATAAACAAACCTATATAAATGAATAGTTAGTTAATAACTAGATTTTAACATATACATTCGACTATTGATATTGTCTGAACATCAATTGAACAAAAGCCTACTGTAAAACTTCAGAAAATTACCATAAGTCAAATATACCTGAACGCAATTCTGAATTATCTTTGTATTGACCTTTAGGTTACTGAAAGAGATGAGGGAACAGTGTTGGTTTTCTGTCCCCTTCAGAAAAGTCTATGATCTACTCTTGTCTGTGGGCTTTCTATAGCCAACATTAGCTTTTCCTATTTGCATAATCTCAAATACTAAGGCTGGCCAACTCAGAACAAAGTAACAAACAAGATTAGGCCGATGTTATTTGTTCCTGTGGTTAAGCAGTGATTGTTTCTAAAGAAGTATTTAAGGTCACTAAGAGGATTTAAACCCCGATTCGTATCAGTGACCTTTTTGAAGGAATTAAATCAACAAAACATTTATCCATATTTAGCAACAAGCTAGGCTACCAGGCTAATTTAGAGGAAGCCATTGCATAGTGGAGATATTGGAGTCTGTTTTGAAATGGGAGTTTGGGGGTTACTTTTTTTTTTACAGTAGGTGCTCTTTTAGGATGTGACACGGAGTGGATCTTTAGCCTCGTGATTGTCTCAGTAGTGTTTTCCTTGAAATGGATCCGCTGCCCCCTAATGAATCCAAACGCAGCTGGCCATGTCCCACACGGACACCGAGAGCTTTAACCCTAAACTGACCTCAATTTGACACCACCAGATGAAATTTTACCGCCTGTTAATGCCATCTTCTGCAGAGACAACGGATCCGCATGTTGACGGAGTTGCGCGTCTACTTGAACACAGATTTTGTTCATATGTATGAGTCCTTAACCTGAAAAGTCACACAATGGGAAATCCACTTATTGAAAATGTAATGCTAAACATAATGGGGACTTGGGCATGATGTGGGACACTTGAAAGGTCTTGGTTTGCAAACACTTGCATGTTTCCAAAACCATGAGAACATGTTTGAGGTATCCTCCATTTAATCTAGGCTATGTTCTATGTTTTATAAGGCTAATTTAATCGTATTATTAAATATGAATTAGCATTATATTAAGACTATTAAGTATTAGGATTGAAATACAATATCCAGAACGAGGATTAAGAGTGTATAAAAGTGCATTTATTGCCATAACTAAAATATAATGTCTCACTAACAGGATTCTGATTTATTTGATGTTTTTCAGATTTATGTTTGAATTGAATGCTGATAGAGGCTATATTTTGGATTCACCATTGCATTGCATTGTAATGAATAGCATGTTTTTAGCTTGTACCAAGAACTATAAGTAAAATACCTAAAATAAACTTCTTAAACATTTAAAATATTGTGTTATATACATTTTTAAAATATACAACTTTTGAATGTTCAAAAGGTTGAGGTACATTTTGGAAGAGCAAGGCTATTACATATAATCACCACCGCAATTTTCACAAGCTCTTCGAATGTTTACACCACCCGCCTTTAGGCCAAAATATATGCGACTGAATAATTTTATACATTTACTGTATAGCCCTAATCATATCAGCTACTTAGCCTGACTTTCCACAACTGCACTGTTGGAGAACCTTCCGTTTTACGAGACACAACAAAGGACATAATATGATTCACTTACCATGTTTGTCCGGAAGAAAAAGGCTAACGTTAGTGTACAGGTCATAGTGCACGATATCATTATAAGCAGTCGGGCTAATATCAAAAACCCATGTCTTCAAAAGCTCACGCAGCCAAGCCCCTGGTTCTGTTCACAGAATGTAACAGCGGTCAGAGGTATTTGGAGACGATGCATACCGCTCTGCGCATAACACTGTAGTTCCTTCTCGGGCTATTGCACGTTGAACTGTCCACACGGCCGTTCGTCAACCCTGCAGTCCTACTTTTTCTTGTAGGGCTTCCCACCCCCTTATGCCAACAAACATAATTGTTGTCACGGTGCTTCATTTATTAAATATTTTTCAATTGCTATTTCTATTGTCATCCCAAGCAACCGTATGGCGCGTTTGTTTGTTGGGAGTATATTGACCTTACAGCTGAATCCAACCCACTAGCTCATCCAACCTATGAATGGTTAATTTCGACAACCACCAAAAATGTCACGGAGCCATAAATGTATCAATTTATGTGAAAACATATCAATATAACGATGATGCCATCTGCGCAAAAGTGTATATTATCATTGATGGAGCTAAATATTAAAAGGGATAGATGGCCTGTTTCGGTTTTGTGCGTAAAAAAGCTTGGGCTCAGGGAAAAAGGGCTATAGCCTCAGCGCAATCGATGGCCGGAGCGTTGCTCCTCCTCTAAACTTCAAACTCAAGACATGATTGATGATCTTGGGGAGCTTTGATAATTGACTACTCTGAGGTAAGGCACAGATTTCTATCGAGAGAGGGGATTGGACGAAAGAAACATACAAAATTACTTTCTCTACAAAAGCTTTTTCTTTTTGGAAAAGTTCATTCTGGACTGAGAAGGGGTGCGCCATATCGTTTAATTTTCTAAACAGCCCCGTTCATAATTAGCAGTACGATTAAAAGGTATTACCGAGATATTTCATACTAGGCACACCGGCTATAACCACAACACAAGATAACAAGTAAGCGTCATGCTCATAAATTAAACTCAAAACGAATCAGATATCTTTACAGTGTCATTATAGATGATTTGACTAGAGATCATGTTTTGATGGCTTGACGGATTCTTAGTTTAGAATATTTTGGAGTGAAAACAATAAGTATGAGTGGTGATATGTGAACAATAGGCTACTGTTCATTATTTGTCATATTTATGGTAACTTTTTTGACTCGTGAACCGTACGAGGTGCGACGCGTATTTCTTTCAGACGATTTGCTATAGTGAAACTAGAACAAGTTAGTCGTACACCTTAGCTCGGGCTTTTCCTACTCTTATTATACAGAGCTATAGGTCCGCGTTGGCATGTATAGGAAAACGCTTCTTCAGATCTAAACGCATTGCAGATGAACACAATAGGCTACTTCACTTTTTTGCTTTTCTTTTTGTCTCTCACTTATCGGCGAAGGGAATTGTCTGGGAGTGTAGAATCTGTGTTGTTTGGCTCCCCCCGTTAGGAGTTGAAGCCGTCCTCGTGCATACTCTGCATATCACAGGATTTGGTCTCTCCTCTCTTTCTGTAGCTGCTGTAGGACTGGCTATGGCCACCGCTACTTCCGGGTTCCGTCATTTCATTCTCCCGCGGATCAGCGCAGCAAACTGACTCTGTTCTATAAGCAAGCTAGCAGCCAACCTGCCAACACTCGCTGACACTCACTCATCTCAGACTGCGAGATAGACGAAATAGCTACGGGGAAAGGAAAGATCTGAATTGCAATCTCTTAATTTCTATTGCTTTTTCTTTTTACAGTAATAATAAAACAAGATAGCAATCTGGAGGCATAAAGAGGACGCGGACTTGCTGGATGAAAACGGGCTGAAAAGATTCATCCTCTCTTGAACATCATCACCAACCATCATTCATTCATTACCTTGACAACCCCTGGCTTTGATTGACAGCTGGAGTGGCAAAAAGCCACGAGACACGACAGTTTAGTTACATGCAGGTTGTTGATGGGCCGGTTGTAACCTTCAGTTTGGTGCTTGACATTTTTTTTTATTTTGGGGGGAAAGAGGAAAACAAGAAAAATTGCAAAACTCCTCCTGATGCTTCTGCTTGTACTCTACCACATTGGAGAATAGGAGAATTCGCAAAGTTGGTTGAAAAAGGAAGCTTACCACTAAATCACTTTCTAACCGGACTGGGATATTAAATATACGACACATCCAGGAGTTTATTGGAGCGCAGCCTGATGGCGCAAAGGGTAGGTTTTGAATCTTCAACACTTACCTATACAAATCCACTATAGGAGGGCCTCCATATCGCTATCCACTTGTCAGTGGCGGCTTATTTATAAAGTGTTCATATCTAAGCCGTTTTATTTGACATTTTTGCAGTAGGCTACCTTTACTCTTCAAGCGGAGTGAAAGCCTCTGCTTAACCGACGGTCTCCGCGGCATTCGTGGAGCAGTTTTTAAAGGGACTCCTAAGTAATTCGGTGTTTTGCCAAAGTAACCCACCTTCGGAGATTCAGAACTTAAAAATGTTTTTGGTAATTACAAATACAAACCTTATCAATGTATTAACTTGGTAGTTTAGCCATGGCGATTGCCTTTTCTGCCAAAGCAACAGGAATGGCACAAGGATTAGCCTACTTTTTTCAAATGCTGGTGTAGTAGCCTAGTTTCACTATATCGCTTTGACTATAGCCTACTATGACTTCAATAACATGTTACCTTATAACTAGCCTATACGTACATTTTGGCCACGTTACGCGTGAGTTTCTATCCTCTGACTTTGTTGTTGTTTTATTCCAGTACGATGAGCTGGCCCATTATGGTGGGATGGACGGAGTCGGGGTCCCGGCGTCTATGTACGGAGACCCGCATGCTCCACGGCCGCTACCCCAAGTCCATCACTTGAACCATGGACCACCGCTCCATGGCCAGCACTACGGTGCTCATGCACCCCATCCCAGCGTTATGCCCAACAGCATGGGCTCCGCTGTCAACGATGTTTTAAAGAGGGATAAAGATCAAATCTATGGGTAGGTGGACTATAATTACATACCTTATTATTAATCTATTTTACGCTTTCAGTGTGTTTTGACATATGAACGTTTTACTTGTTGCAAAAGTTAACCCAGCAAGGCCTAAATGCATTAGCAAGTTTACAAGAAGTGTAGTTTAGCTCAAGTATTATTTTATGATTTTGGAAAAAGTATTGTCAAAACCTAGATAGAGGTTTATGTTTATCAGTCATCTGATATTATCACAACTTACATTTAAAAAATAATATGGATAACCATTATAGTATACAATTAAAACTAAACAGATAGAAGGATGCATCTTATTGGCCCATTGTAACAAGGGCATAAACACAGACTGCAACGTATGGTTATGGCTACTTCTAAACAAGTTGATAGGTCCGAGTTTATATTTGGTATAATCCCCAAAACATTATAATAGTCAGCACTAATGCGTTAGTGTCCGTGCGTAAAATGCATTGGAAAAATTTAGGACAAATAGTGTAATTTGTAAACAATGCATTTTGCCATTAATGTGCACATAGCTTATTCATAAAATGTTTACAAAGTAGGCTAATGCCATGGATGAATTTGAAGAGACATTTAAAATGTTATCTCAGTCAAAACCTTGGAAAGTATAGTAGTTGAAATTATTCCTGACAAATTCTTCACTATTTACACTCATTGGCATCCTTAGTTTTACTTAAAACTTTAACTTGCTATGTCGCGGTGTGATTAGCTTGTATTAAGCCTGTGTGGAGGAGCTGGCTGCCGGTTTGTGCTCAGGCTCTGTTTCCCCTCTTGCAGTCACCCATTATTCCCACTGCTCGCGTTGGTTTTTGAGAAGTGCGAGCTGGCGACGTGCACTCCGAGGGAGCCTGGGGTAGCAGGCGGCGATGTCTGCTCCTCCGACTCCTTCAACGAGGACATCGCAGTCTTTGCCAAACAGGTCACTTTTTATATTTTTTCTAAAAACCTAATAGGATTTTCCAAGTGCTCATGGCACACGTATCTTCTTGTTAACTTTTTACACATTTCACTTTTGGGATTTTTTAAAGTTATAGTTGAACATTTTAAAATAAAAATTGTGTTTGTTAGGTTATATAATGTCGAAGTTAAAAAGCAAATTCACTGGTGATATTGACTCATTAATGTCTACACAACATGAAATACAAACATAATATAACTTTGAACTGTGTTTTATTTATTATACAACATTATTGCATTATTGCAAGTCAAATATATATTTTTTGGAATGGTTTCATGACTAAATGCACTCAACGCCTGTAAGAAGTAGTCGAATTAACCCTCCATCTTTGGTGTTATTCTAGGTCCGAGCAGAAAAACCTTTATTTTCATCAAATCCAGAGTTGGACAATTTGGTAAGCACTATGCACGACCATTTGCCTTTCAATTCCCTTGTTGGTGTAACTGTTACTCCTACTTAGCTTGTTTTTTTTACTTAAACCATGCTCTTGTGTTCTCAGCATCGCAAAGTAAATATGTAAGGATTTGATGCAAAAGCACAACACAGATGTTAGATAGGTTTCTTTGAAGTGAACAAGGGGAAGCTCTGAGGGGTCTCGAGTGGCACAGCATTACGCTGCCTACAGGAGGCCGAGAGGGAAGCCTCTGATTAGGCTAAAAAGCGCTGGGACTCTCACTGGGCGAATCCTGCGCCATGGTCACTCATTGGGAGCAATGGGGCTTCATTTGCCGCTTAAATCGCTGCCTATGTAGCCCACATCAATTGGCTCGGTTGACCAAATGTGTCTTGCCTAATTCAGTTGTTAGATAATCTTAACATTTTTATTTTCCAAATGTTAAATGAATAGCGAATACAGTATTACACACCACGATAAGTGTGGGAAGCATAACTTTGCTCGATAACCCCATAGCCTAAACTTCAGGAAAATGCAAGAGTGTGTTTTTGTTATATGAAGTGAAAATAACAATGTGTAGCCTTATGCTTACCATTCCATTATACTTTCATAATTTAAAGACACCAAAAATGTTGATTTTTATTGTTGTTTATTCCTGTTTTCAGATGATACAAGCCATACAAGTATTACGATTTCACCTTTTGGAATTAGAAAAGGTATTTTTTTTTTTTTTTTTTTTACAATTCATATTTTTATTGTGTGATTATAGTGTTTGAGACGTGATCAGCTTTAGATTCAGCATGTGGCCCTGTATTGACATAACTCGTATGGTAAGTAGCCTAGTTTGTTACACAAATGTGAAAGTTAGACAGTATTTTGCAGAAAATTAGTTGATATTGCGTGTGATGTAATACATTATTCAGAGAAAAATATTAATATTCAACTATTAAAATACTATAATGTTTAATTGTGATAAAGAGACTCATAAAATAATTCAGAGTGATTGGATTGAATTCACACTCTTGGGCCTTTACAATACACTGACCATATTGATAATGCTTTGACATTATTTGTATGCTAATATCACAGATTTGAAATCTGGAGATTTGGCACCAACTGGTTATTATATGTCGAGCTTACCCATGGTGTTTATTTTTTTCCGTTCGACTTGTTGCTCTGGTCTCAAGAGAATAATAAGCGCTGCAACAATTTCACTATTGTTTCCTTGCGCCGATAATGCCCCTAAATTGTAGGCTAGTTATTCTTGGACTGTCTGCACCGTTTCCCCATCTTTATATTTTTTTTTTCTCCTTGTTCTAGGTGCACGAGCTCTGCGACAATTTTTGCCACCGGTACATCAGTTGTTTGAAAGGAAAAATGCCAATAGATCTAGTTATTGACGAGCGGGATGGAAGCTCGAAGTCAGACCACGAAGAGCTCTCAGGATCTTCGACCAACCTAGCCGATCACGTAAGTAATACGCTTTTCTATCGTTATAATAGTTTTATCAGAAAGTTATAGAGGCCTGTTACGGCGTCGTTGTTGTGAGTGCGTGTTGTTTGTTGTTGGTAATATTGAAGTAGACGTTTTCTAATGGTCATTTGTGACATTTTATTGTTGTTAGAATTGTTTCAAATGTGTTTTACTAACGGTGTAATTTGTTGACTATTTTACATGGTGTGAACTGTCATTATAGCCACCGTTTAGCCTGTGTTGTGCTATATGTCCTCAGCAGGAGGCCTGTTGGTGCTGTTGCATGCTGCAGATGCATTTGGGAAATCGATATTTTTAGGTCAAAAGTCAGTTGTGATACAAAGCAGTGAGTTATTGTTTTAGTCTTTTGATTAGGGGCATTCATGTGTGTATAATAACTGTTTGTGTGTGTGTGTGTGTGTGTGTGTGTGTGTGTGTGTGTGTGTGTGTGTGTGTGTGTGTGTGTGTTTGTGTGATAGAGAGCGTGTGTGTGACCGAAGGCGAGAGTGTGTGCATGTGTGTTATGTTTTTTGGGGGGAATATGGATTGTTTTTTAGTGGGGATATGGATTGTTGGACATTGAATGTGAAAGCGATTATCTGTTGCTCAGAATTACAATAGAATAGCACGTTTTTGGAGTGGACTAATGATAAAAAAGACAAGGGCATAATTTCGGGATACAGTGTAAGAGACGATAATGATTTGGAGCGTGCGTAAAAAAGCTTTCGGATTTTGCTGCAGAAAGGGAGAAAGTGATAATCAGTATGGGCTACCATCAATGTCAAGTTCATAATGTGGTATTAGGCCTACCTCACGGCTTGGCAGTGCTGCAATGGCGTTACTTGCTGTTGATTTTAATGTGTTTAATTGTTTCTTATTGATCGCCCGGTGGTTTTGCTCTGCAGTGTCTCTCTCTCTCATCTGCACCCCAATTTTATGGCCTTGAGGCTCCATAATAATTAATTCAATTACATACACCTGAAGTACAGTGCCTTTAAATTTGAAGATTTATCCCGTGCCTTAAACACGCCTTTTCCGGTGTAAAAACGGGCGCTGCATATAATCGGTGCATTGTGTAAAGGCCTAACAGTTGATAATTCATTATTGATTTAATATCTGGGATCAGATCTAATATCCCTATTAAATAGGCTGTAGGGATGACGTTTTGGTGAATTCGGGGTGTGTATTTCGTGACAGAGTGACTGGTTTATATCTGAGCAGCACGAGCCCAAGCCTATTAGGAAGGAAAGCAGATTTAAGTGTTATTCAAAGTCACTGCGCTGCATCTGTTGGGTTTAGCTATAATAGCGGTTGATTCCCTTTGAATAGCCGGCGCGTTGTTCAGAGTTGCTAGTCAGAGTGCAATGCATAAGGTGAATTAAAACACAATTAACACCCTTAGCAAAGTGGGGCCGAGCAGCAGTTAAAAGCTCAATATTGTGGAGCTCCTCTCTAGAATAGGCGAAGTGTAGAAATGAGGCATTCTGTTGTTTATACTGAAGAGATTAGATAAACTAGCCTAGTTTGTTTCGTGGCAGATGGTTGATACTCAAGCCAATTTCCAATGTTCCCTCGCAATGTTTAGACCTAAGCAATTGTCATCGGGTCCACTTGTGATAAATATTAGTTTGATAATTAGCTAATTAAATATGTCAATAAAGAAAAATCAGAACCAGCAATAAACAAACTTGAAGGTGCATGACAAGTCATTTATCTTGGGGTCGTTTACACTGACCACTTCATTAGTTGTTTTATTTAGGTTGGAGCGATTTCTTTCTTTCTTGTGGCAGCAATGATAATTTTACTACAGCTAATTGTTGTGCTCAGCCTTACTAAAGCAGAAGGAGGTTGCTTATGCGTTTCTATACCTTGTTTACATTGCGACTATAGTGCTGAACTGTAGTGTGAAAATAGGCTAATAATGTACATGCTCTCAGATGATCTTTATTCAAATGTTTAAAAAAAGATGTGCACTGTAGCGTACACTGACAGTGTTACATTGTTATAAACGTAATGTGTACAGTGATAGGCTGATAATATATTTATTGTTGCATTTATATGTATCGATTTTTTTTTATACTTCTTGACAGTAGTGTCAAATGCAGTGCAAAATATAATTGCTGATATAAAAGTAAAAACAGTATGGCTCAAACTATGAAGAATACATGATGCATACAACAGAAGAGTGTATATTCTAGTGCCCTGTGCTTAACCAGGCCCTAAAACACTGTAGTTAATGGCTATGTCCCCCACAGTATGCACACTCATTTCCATATCATATTTCAGTAGTTTGAGTTGTATATGCCTCAAATATGATGAGCAATAATATGAATGAACACAATATTGAAATCTGCGTATAGCAACACGTGTGTGTAGGCCTACTGTTGGGTTGCTGAGTTGCAGCTACACTTGTTTTGTTTTATTTATTTTATTATTATTTATTTTGCTTCTGTTTTATTATTCATTTCTATCCTCTCTTCTAGTTGGAGAGGGGAAGGCAATTTGATAGTTAGATATGCTAATTTATTTATTTAGAATCTCTCACGTCCATTTTTCTTTGCTTTGATATGCATTTTTAATATATAGCCCAGGGCTACATCTCATTTGGTGAAAGTTGGGCTTGCTGGAGATGATAAGGCTCTTCACGGTGAAGGAGACAGCCCGTTGAGCTTGTTTTTCCCCCTCTACCCCTTTCCCCTCTCTCTCTAACAAGGTATCATGGTCTGACTTCAGTATTCAACGTTTGTCCAGGGGATAAACTTACATTTTTGACAATTAAGTTTAGGCATTAATTCCGACTGGTTAAGGTAAGGGTTAAGGTTTGGGATAGGGTTAAGGTTAAGGTAAGAGTTAAGGTTTGGGATTGAACCCGCGATCCTCGGAGCCAGAGCACGCAAGCCCACTAGATGGTAATAGGTGCTCACGTTGCCCCTAGTGGACGGTATTGAAGGCATCTCCCGATATCCTGGGGACCTGGACAAACGTTGAATACTGAAGTCGATTTGATGTGACCTGGCTGCTCTCCCTCTCTATCCCCCTCATTTCTCTACCTGACAGTAGACCCTAATAAGTGCTGTGTTATTTACACTTCAACACTGTATTGTCAGAGCTGATTGGATTATACCATTGTCAGATGGGGCCTTTATGGCACTGTTGATTTCTTCTGTTGGATTTCTATGACAATCCCAACCCCCCCCCCCCCCCCCCCAAGCACCCATCACTTGTAAAATAAAATAAAAAATTATCATGTTTTGTTACACATGGACAGTGAAAACAAGGGACTGTCTGGATCTTAACAAACGATCGGTGCTGTGGTGTCGTTCGTCAGTCGCTGTGCTCGCATGTCTTTTAATTAATGAAATTACATTTCAGTCTTCTCTGTGCTACATCCAATTAAGGCGCCGAATAGTCTACAATTAATGGTTGCTGAATATGATCTGTTCTAATGAATTTGTTCTTTGTGCCTCCTCGTGTCTATTGTACAGCCTTTTCCCACCAAACTGTACATATTAGCCAAGGTTTTAATTCTCCTCCAACACATGCTATTGACATCATTTTTACGACGTGTGCATAGTTTGTTATGAAGAAATATTGTGAGATTTGAGTTTCTGCCACTCTCAGTTTTTCTCTCAACGCTTGAGGGCTGTTGGTTGTAGTTCCCACAAAGGTTATGTAGGTTATCCTAGCTCTGCACGGCCAGAGAGAAAACACTAGTGTTTACATTTCATTCTCTGGTAAAGGCTTGGGCCGTAAAAACTCATTTATCAGATGGAATGACGATGACAAGGATTCAAACCTATAATATGATATCTTGTACAATGTACAATTACTTTTATTGTTATCATTGGACATGTAATATATGTCCTGTTTCTTTATGTTCCTATGCTTAGCACTACATGCTCCTTGCTCCATAATCATACATTCTGCCTCACTGTGTTAGCCTACGTCTAGCCTCCGGGGCTTCCAGTGCTGTTGAACCATGGAATTTCTCCATTTTGGAAGGTGTTCTAATTTAAGTAGCACTAGCTCTCGCTGACCGAACTGTCTTTGTTTGGATCCCCCATCAAAATAATGTGTCATTTAGTGGCCTGACTGCACTGTTCCAGACAATTGTTTTGTGATGGTAGGATGTCTGGGCCTACATTTCCTATTTGATTTGTATTCAGATGCAGGGGCCTGTTGGCAGGCATGTCTAATCACTATGGGTAGTAGGGAGAGAGAGAGACTAACTTGTTGCAGTCCCCCACACACTCCCTACCCACCCGTCCCTCCCTCCTAGCTCCATGCAATGGACGCCGATGCAACCTACAACTGAGCTAAAACATGTTTCTGAAGCTGTAGTTCTATGATCGTATTAATAGGAAAGGTGTAAGATTATTTGCATTTTACACCTATTGCACCATGCATATTCCAAATAACTACTGCTCAGTGGTGTGTATTCGCAATACCTTTTCTTGTTGTTTCATCATTTGAAATATTTGAGTTGTACTCTAAGATGTTGTCATGTGTAGTGTAGATGTATTTTTGAATAAATCAGTTGTGAAACTGATGAGTAATGTTCTCATGTTTGTATGAGTCAATGTCGTAAATCACATAGCGTTCAATGGTGTGGAATCACGTTTTTATCTGTGCATTCTGATAGAATGATTGCACATGTAATGTGCCATTCAGTGCAATGAATGAGACTTATTTCGCCCAGAAGTAAATTCCCCACCATACACTCAGGCAGTCACCCAGGCCTGTCTCTTAAAACACGCAACAGTGAATTATTAGATACTTAATTAATGTTTCCTTTTTATTCTCTGAGGATAATTGTAGGTGTTGTGAAATGCTCAGTTGTTTAGTAGAAGAGCACCTTCACGTTTTAACATCTTTTTTTGGCTTGTCTCTATAATTACGTGTTAAATTCGACCAAAATGTGCGAGGACTTTAACTGCTTATGAGGGGTGGTAAGATGCGTCTTGAAATGTCAGCCGGCTATGATTAATGATGCTGTATGTTTCTAGTGTGTCAGCAATATGGGACATGTTCAGTAGAGGAGCCTCCCAGGCCAAGCCGTTGCAGGCTGTGGTGTTAGAGTCTACACTGTACACCAGTGTAGTCCCCTGAATCACTCTGCATTCTACTCTTTTTCAGCCCCCCTCCCAACAAAATTCAATGACAGTGCTAAATCAATTTTATTTGACATTCCAAGGGATGTACAAAAAAAAAAGCTGGTGAAATTGCTGCGATGGGCATGGCAGGTGTGTGTGTGTAAATGAGAAATGGAAGACAACAGGAGTGGAGGAGTGAGTTGTTCTCCTGTGGCCTTGATGCACTACAAGGCTCTCCTCCATATTGTCTCCTGCTTTTATATTAATTACAACTTGCATTATCAGCTGTGAGACGCTAACCCCAGCAAATAGAAAAGTCAGCTCCGGGAGACCAGGCTTGCCTTGTATCTTATTTTCCATCTACTCTATCTATTGTGCTGCCTGTCTGCCTGTCTGTCTGCCTGTCTGCCTGTCTGCCTGTCTGCCTGTCTGTCTGTCTGTCTGTCTGTCTGTCTGTCTGTCTGTCTGTCTGTCTGTCTGTCTGTCTGTCTGTCTGTCTGTCTGCTGTCTGCCTGTCTGCCTGTCTGCTGTCTGCCTGTCTGCCTGCCTGCCTGTCTGCCTGTCTGTCTGCCTGTCTGCCTGCGCTGTGTGTTGTGTTGTGTTTGCTCGTTGCTGCTCTCGTCTCTCCTCCTGGTAACAGTGCTCTTCAACACAATTAGAGAAGAGCATGGAGTGAACCTTGTTTTAACTCGTAATTATGCCAAGCTACAGGGAGTAGTCACATGACGTGGTGCTACGGGCTTTTCTTTTTTTTCATCTTCTGTTTTTTTATAGCGCTCTTGGTTTTTAGATTGATGAAGGAAGACCCTTTTCGGTGACGTAGGTTTTTTTCCTAGCTTGTTTGAAGTTTATTGTACTCAAACACCCTTCATAGCTCAGAAAGGTTAACCTTGTTGAGTGTGGAAAGTTAATGCCGGTGTTGTGATATTTATTGTTATGTTGTGCGAGAGTGGTTATTGAAGAGAGGTGAGCGACAGATATGCACACTGAGGCGTCTGTTTGACAAAATGAAAACATCAGCATATGTTTGGCCCTACATAATAATCCTACTGTTGTTTGGTCTTTGCTTATGTTACAGTGACCAACTGGGCTTAGTTTAGTCCAGGCCTAGATCCCTGGCCAAGCTTCCATTTACTGTAATTCTGGCTAGTAATTCACTACCAAATATCACTCCCTTTAACACCATTAGCTAAGGTGTCTCTGAATTTAATTTAGTACCAGAGCCATTAAAAATGACACATTACTGTGCAATGATAGCTAAATGAAGTCCTATCGATTCAGCCGTTGCATTAAATCCATGTGGTGCCCTGGCCTAGCTGGCCATCAGATCAGAAGCTGTCCTGGCTGGCTGCAGTGTTGTGGATGTGATGAGAGAAAGAGAAAGAAAGAGAGAGAGCGAGCGAGAGAGACAGAGAGAGAGAGTTAGTTAGTTAGTTAGTTAGTTAGTTAGTGTACTGTACTGTATTGTAGCTTTCTAGGCCAGTCTGGCCGGCAATGGGTGTTTCAGTGTCAGGAAATGGAACCCAGTCATTTTCTTTCCTTAGAACAGCAAGAGCCCATTCGGAGTCAATGGAGCCTGGCTCTGGCTAAATATATCATACACTGCCTGGGATTCTTGACACCTTTTTCCCTCTCTCTCTCATTCAATTTCTCTCTCTCTCTCTCTCTCTCTCTCTCTCTCTCTCTCTCTCTCTCTCTCTCGCTCTCGCTCTCGCTCTCGCTCTCTCTCTCTCTCTCTCTCTCTCTCTCTCTCTCTTTCTCTTTCTCTTTCTCTTTCTCTTTCTCTTTCTCTCTCACTCTCGCAATCGCTCTACCCTTCATTTTTTATGACATTCGCTTGTGAGACTTAAACGAAGAGTTATGAGATGGCTAACATTAGTGATGTTACTCTCTATGTAAAAAATATACAGATAATTGTAAACGAAGGCTCTTGGACGCATCAAAGCCCATCTCAGCCCATGTGTATCTGATCAATAGCCCAGGTAAGCAGCACATCCCAATCATCCATCCCCTCTTAATTAAGTAGGGACGTTTTTCTTTTCCACACCCTTGTTCAGAAGGGCTAAAACCCACGCGGGGGCTATCGTTCGGCCTGCCTTATTACTCCCACCTCCTCTCCTCTTCTGGGTAATTCTCCCAGCTCTTTATCTGATTGCCATCCGGTGAACAGCTGACACAGAGAGGGGTTGGAGTGGAGCGCTGTGGCTGAAGGGCCTGTGTCTGTCTGCTGTTTTCCGCTTCGCTCTAAGCTGTTTGAGAACACAGCCTTCCTCCCTGAAAACGTACCAGATAAAAGGAGGGCTGCTGAGATGAGCTGCTCATAGGCACAGCTGGAGCAGCAGCACATAAGGATCAGGCACCCAAGGGAACCAGCGAGCCAGTCAGCTAACCGCTCTGTGCTGCTGTCTCATAGCCTCTCCCCGTGAACTCCTCTCCAGGCCCTCTCCTGTCTGTCCTCCCCCAGAACAGCTCACTCAAACTGGGACAGCCTCACGAGCAGGCGAAAGTTCAGCAGGAACGCTACTGAGCTGAGGCAGAATGGTAAAAAACGGGCTCTTTTGAAATATTTCTGTGCCGTGTATCCCCCCCCCCCTTTTCATATATGTATGTGTGTTTGTGTGTTTGAGACTGAAAAAAAGCAAGCGGGGAGAAGTGGGCTGAGGTTTGTGGGAAGCCTTGGTGCAGGCCTGTGTTTGTTTGGCTTGGGCTCCTTTCAAGGGGCCGCTTTTCCAGGCCCCCAGACAACATTGGGCCAATATTCGCCAACATTTTGTCATCGTGTTCAGGTGACAAATTAAATTGGAATAGGCTAGCCTGTGTATTTGTGTGTGTGTGTGTGTGACTCATGCGTCTGTTTGTGCTGTGTGTGTACAGGGGTGTCTCACAGTCTGTCTCTCTGTGGTGTGAATGGCAGAGGAAATTCCCCCTTTAGCCTGCCTTCGTGTGGCACTGTTAAAGCCTTTCCTGTACAGTACTGTAGAATTCCTGTTTCCCGGTTCAGACCTGCAGGGACCTGGGAATGACCAGGAAAGAGAGGAGGAGAGAAAAGAAGGAGCGAGAGGAAGGAGAGAGAGGAGGAGAGAGAGGAAGGAGAGAGAGGAAGGAGAGAGAGGAAAGAGAGAGAGGAAGGAGAGAAAAGAAGGAGCGAGAGGAAGGAGAGAGAGGAAGGAGAGAGAGGAAGGAGAGAGGAAGGAGAGAGAGGAAAGAGAGAGCGGAAGGAGAGAAAAGAAGGAGCGAGAGAAGGATAGAGGGGAAGGAGAGAGAAGGAGAGATAGGAAAGAGGAGAGGAAAGAGAGAAAAGAGACGAGAGGAAGGAGCTTCTCCTCCTTCTTCGTTATATTCCTCTCTTATCCAGAGAGAGGAAAGAGAGAACAAAGAAGGAGAGAGAGGAAGGAGAGAGAGGAAGGAGAAACTCTACTTATGAGCTCTACATTTTTTTGTAAAAACTATTACTGCACCACTATTTGAGCCAGTTTGCTCTGTAGGAGTGCTCTGTACTTTCTCTAAATGTGTGTGTGTTAATGTGCGGGTGTGTATGTCTCTCTCTGTGTGTAGGGGCGTGTGTGTGCATTTTTGGCAGATTAGAGGGAGAATCACTGTCATATCTTATTTTCATTTCTGACAGTGCTAATGATGAATAGCTCTTGTGGTGTATTTAGACTTCTTACCTCGATATTTCTCACTAGACACGGAAGTCTCAATTGGTTACGGTATAAACGAACTCAACAGGGCCTGGCCATATGTGTTTAGACAATTCTTCAGCGAGCGCCCTGCCTGCAACGTTCAAAATCAGACGGCACATTAACCGTCGTCGCTGTGTTGTGCGCTCTTATGTATTAATGAAACTGTTTGATTGCAGAGTTTAGACTTTAGTGCTTGACGGTTTAATGCGCTAGGCTTTTTTCTTTTGGCCTTTGATTGTAGTGGCATTGTTGATTGTGTGCTAGGGGCAAAATGAGTGGAACTCTTTGCTTGCCCAGGAAATGTAAGCAGTCCAAGAGATCCTCACTGCACTGTAGACTCTTACAGATGTCACTCTCACGTTTCCAACATACTCATGTGATCTCCCTCTCTCTCTTTCTCTCTCTCTCTTTTTCCCTTTCTCTCCACGCTCTCCGCTCCTGGTTTGCGGTTTGGATGGGGAATGCGGACGGATGGATCCTTCTCTCTTTCTCTCTCTCTTTTTGTAAAACCCATGCAGAACCCAGCTTCCTGGAGAGACCACGATGACGCCACCTCCACACACTCGGCCGGCACGCCAGGGCCCTCCAGCGGGGGCCACGCTTCACAGAGCGGCGACAACAGCAGCGAACTAGGTGAGCCAGCACACCCCCCCCCCCCCCCCCCCCCCCCACACACACACACACATAGAGGCATGCACATGCACACACACTCATACAAGCACACATGCAACATAATATTTTAAACACTTGCCAACACACTACTTTTGGAGACGATCGAATTTACACTTACTGCTCATTAGAAATAGTGTCAAAGTGTCAGTATTCTCTCACTTGCACACACACACACACACACACACACACACACACACACACACACACACACACACACACACACACACACACACACACACACACACACACACACACACGTTATACACAGAGCAGCTTACTAACTGCTGTAGCTATTTAGAGGTAGAGTTGAACAGAGTGCTAAGAAAAGCTGGTGATTAATAGGATATTTCTGCCAGTTCTCACTAGCATTTAAAACATATTAACTTTGCTAGCTCTACAAGCCCATTTACAGCTCAGAACAGCTTGTGCTTTTTATAGTCTGGACTGCCAGCCAGCCTATCATAATGCATTCTTTTAACTACACTCTATTACAGTTATAATGCAAGTCATGTCTGTGAGTCTGCATTTTGGATAGTTAAACTGTTTAGTTTTTCTTCTATTCACATTTGTTGAAGTATTGAAACGAAGACATCAACACAAGGCATCAACACCAAAACAGAACAAACTTAAGTGATCCAACTCTGTTATCTTACTAGTGTCTTTGCTAAGACAACAGTGTTGATTAGTCCACTAGCCTTTCCTTTCTTGTACTGCCCTTGTTTTCAGTGTTCTCTGTTGCAGTCAGATCTCCTTTCACTGGCGGCAGTGTGTGTGTGTATGTGTGCACGAGTGTGTGTTATTGTTTGTGTCCGTTTCTGTCCGGGGTTTCCATAGAATTTCATCACACCACACACACACTCTTCTCTCGCTCACAGTATGTCTCCACAAGAGGCCAGACACTTGTCATGTCCAATCACGGCTATCGTTTTGCCGATAGGCAATCAAATGTATCGATGGTGTGTATATGTGTGTGTGTGTGTTCTGTGGTTGTGCTGGTTTAATCATAGAGTCTCTCTGAGTCTGTGGGCCTGTTGGAGTGACTGTGCTGCTGAACCATTACTGACCACAGAGACACTCCTAGAGGTGATCTGTGGTGGTCCCGTGTCAGGACTAGTTGCATTACAGGCAGCTGTCTGGCTGAGCGGAAGGGGCTTGGCGGTGACAGTAACTCCGGCTCACGAGGTGCACTGCGAATTAGCAAGGTGGAAAGTAGCTCTAAGATTTAGCTCAAAGATTTAACCCACATTTAGCCCATTTCTAGAAGCAAGTGTAGGTGCATCTGTCAAAGGGATTTTCGGTTATATTCAGGTTTATTTTATATTCATTGTTTGTCATTCCTGCAAAGCTAGTAGTAGGAGAGACTAAGCGATGCAGAATAGAGGTTTGCACAAAGGGGAGAGGGAGGGAGCAAAGAGAGTAGAGAGAGTAGAGAGAGCAGAGAGAGCAACGAGAGTAGAGAGAGTAGAGAGAGCAGAGAGAGTAGAGAGAGTAGAGAGAGCAGAGAGAGCAGAGAGAGTAGAGAGAGAGAGCAGAGAGAGCAGAGAGAGCAGAGAGAGTAGAGAGAGTAGAGAGAAGAGAGTAGAGAGAGCAGAGAGAGCAGAGAGAGTAGAGAGAGCAGAGAGAGCAGAGAGAGTAGAGAGAACAGGGGAGTAGAAAAATGCACTGCCTATTGATTATTTTACACACATAAGTACAAGTGACCTGTAATCCACAGAGCACTTATCGACTGCTCTCTCCACCGGATCCAGTAACAGCTGATCAATATAGCCCAAGACAGTTACCGTACGACGCTGAGCACTATGCCAAGTAGGACCCAGACCAGACCTGGGCCTCCCTGACCCAGACCAAAATAGCCTAAATACTGTACACAGCTCCTGCTCACACCCCTGGGTGAAAAAGCCCCTCAGACACACGGAAAAGATGGAGGAGAGAGAGAAAAAGAGAGTCGACAAGACGAGGAGATGTAAAGAGAAAGAGAAATGTGTAGAAAAAAGAGAGTCAGGAAAATGAGGAGGGAGAGAGAAAATCAAGACAGAGAGAAAAAAAGAGTGTGAATGAGAAAAAAGAAGAGAGAAAGGAAAGAGAGAGGGGGCCGCTGATTTAATGGTCTAATGAGGCCGTTCTCCAGCCAGTTGTTTTGTGTGAGGTTCGCTCTGACCTTTCGCTCCGCTCAGGAGCTCAGCCGCCTCATTTTTCACATTCTTGCAATTACGTTAATGCTTGAAGCTCTCCCTGACTCCCGACTCTGACCCTTCCACTCTGACAGAGCCCCCTCTCCTCTCCTCTCCTCTCCACTCCACGCATGAATAGGCTTCCCATCTCGACCATATTTCCACGTTAGAAAAATACACTCCTTAGTCGGAACACTTAAACCCACAGTGAAAGAGCCAAACGTGTGCCTTACTTCGTTAATGAGGTATTTAACAGGTTAGCCTCTGTTAAAAGGGGTGGAGGTTAGTTGAGGTAAAAAGAAATGGGGAGCGGAGAGGGGTAGAGGGAAAGAAAGAGAGAGAGAGTCAGGGAGGCAGAAGGAAAGACAAGAGCTCCAGTTCAAGCCTTTGGGTTCTGTGAGGGACAAAAAAACAAAAACACAACAGAATCAACCTTTTTCTGCGAACACTTTTAAAAGGTGTGTGGGGCTTAAAAATCTCTCAATTCCTTTTAAAGGAGAAGTCTTAAGGACACCCTTTTGGGTCTTGTGTTTCCCGGCGCATGTTGAAATGTTCCTGATTATATAAGCCCTACACAAGGGGTCTCTGACCATGGCTGAGTGGATGTGTTGGCGAGTGTGAATTCTCCTCTTGTTTTCCTCCTCATGTTAATGAAGACATCACTTTGACAGTTTAGAGTTCCTGGTAGGAGATGTACATTACAGTATACACCTCACACACCTCTCCTTCCTTACAGAGAGAGAAAGACTGTGTGTGTGTGTGTGTGTGTGTATGTGTGTGTGTGTGTGTATATGTGTGTGTGTGTGTGTGTGTGTGTGTGTGTGTGTGTGTGTGTGTGTGTGTGTGTGTAGATACAGGCCTCGAGATGGTTGCTCTGAGCAAAATTTATATTCGTAATCTTTCGCTTGTATCTAGGCACTGAGCAGTACTCTGAACCCCTGCCAGAAAACTATTTAACCAGTGAGAAAATATGTGTAGCCCCTCTTACGGAATAATTTATTGTGAAGCAGTAAAACAAGGTGAAGCATGCTCATAGCTGTCAGTAGAGATTGCCAGTTAAGATTTTGACACATTGGAAAGAGGGTTTGGGTACCCCCCACCCACTCTGCCTCATCCTCCACCTCATTCCCTCACACACTTCTTTAAAAACTGAATTTCTTTCCAAAAAACGCAAATATGTATTATCACCTTCAGGGCAAATTCTGCACTTTCCCTTACTGACTGTGAGCAGAACTCCCAGTGTTCTAGCTTGATAAACAGCACTGGTGCATGGGAGAAGTTTCAATAGGCTTCCTTAGAGATTGCAGCTCAGTGCTCTCCACCATCAGACTATCAGCGTTGGCTCGGCTTACAGTTCTTTTGATTAGCAGCTCTTTTGATTTCTTCTGAGCTTATCTTGAGATATCAGAAACATCAATGAAGTAGTAGTAAGTCAAATCTGATGTCAGTGGTTGTTGAAAAACAGGAGTTATTTCCAAGAAGGTGGCCATTATCAGTTTACAACACCCAAAGTGTGTTTGAGCTGGAAAGGGATGAAGCATACTCCACTTCATGTCCATGCCAAACATTGTGCAGTCAGATACACTCACAGACTCACTCATCTACAGTAAATCCTCACTACTGATACAACTTCAAGGTAGGGAACTCTCTCTCTCCCCTCTTCCACCCCCCCCCCCCCCCCCCCCCCCCCCCTCTAGTCCGCTCCTGTAATTATTAGCTATGCATGAAAACCAAATCCATTTTGACATCTTGAGTGGTGAGCAAAAGGCCTCTCCACTCTATTACCCCCCTTTTACTACCAAAAGGCCCAGCAAAAAAAAAAAAAAGATAAAACGTTTTGTACATTTTTTCAGCAATTGAACAATCCCCCATGTTCTGCAGAAACACAGACTCCCCAGAGAGGTGCAGAGAGAGAAATAGTGAGGTTGAGGGAGAGAAAGAGAGAGTGCCTTGGTGGTGGTGTGGTGTGTGTTTTCAGTGTGTGTTGCAGTGTGTGCAGCTCTCCCACCCCTGGCCAGGGGCCCCTCTAGGCAGGGTCATTGTGGTTGAGCTCACTAGAGGGGGGTCTTTCCTGGTGGGGACAGGACTCCCTGGCCAAACCCAAAAAGCCCCAGCTAGCACAGCGCGAACAAGGCCTGCTGAATCTGGCAGTTTCCGGACCTTTGGCTTATTTTTCTCTTTTTTCAAGGCCCGGGTACAGCTTTTCTGTGTGCTTGAATGAGCTCCCCAAAAAAGTAAGGGAAGAAAAAGAGAGGAGGAGAGAAAAAAATCATGAAACCACAACAGAAAGGAAGCCAGGGACTCAGCTAAAACGCAAGATGGAAGCCTTGTTGCATATTTGTGGCTGCTGTTCCTGCCCCAGAGTGAAATAGCTGGCTGTTTCTGGGTGCCTGTTCAAATTTAATTTAGAGTAGTAATTAAAGCTGAATACTGGCCCATAAACAACAGATAAACAATAAAGCAGATCCTGGACCTGCTGTTTCATTGCCGTCACTCCCAGCTGTTGGAGGACTGATCATTTTTACACAGTGCCCCTACCTCACCACAACACACCACCACAGCAACAAGGGTGTGTGTGGGTGTGCATGTGTGTGTCCCTCTTCCCTCTTCTTTCAAATCAAAACAGAGAGCAGAGAGAGAAAGAATAAAGAAGGATAGAGCAGAAGAGAGAGAGAGCTAGAAAGTGGATGAAGTGAGGGCAGCCAGGGTGAGGGCAGAAGCAGCCAGGATGAAAGGTTTAGGAAGAGGAGCCTGCCCTCAGTAGATTGCTTACAAAACCACTTAAATGGCAACAATGATCGCATTAACAATAAATTAAGAGCTATCATGATGTGCCTGGTGTGCTTTCCGCCTGTGGCTTTTACTGGCATTTGGGCCATCAATCACTGTGCCCACACACCTTAGTGACACCCTAGCCAAGGCAGGAGACTAACGTTAGATAAACCCAGAGCTTTCCTACACAGGCCTGGCCGTAAAATAGACTTTACTACAATACTTTACTACATGGTATCACTTTCCTAAATGTATAAATTACTACATGAAGAGGTCTCCAAGGTGTTGTTGTACATACACTACTGGTCAAAAGTTTTAGAACACCTACTCATTCAAGGGTTTTTCTTTATTTTTACTATTTTCTACAATTAAATAACACATATGGAATCATGTAGTAACCAAAAAAGTGTTGAACAAATCAAAATATATTTGAGATTTGAGATTCTTCTAATAGCCACCCTTTGCCTTGATGACACCTTTGCACACTCTTGGCATTCTCTCAACCAGCTTCACCTGGAATGCTTTTCCAACAGTCTTGAAGGAGTTCCCACATATGCTGAGCACTTGTTGGCTGCTGATCCTTCACTCTGCGGTCCATCACTCTCATTCTTGGTCAAATAGCCCTTACACAGCCTGGAGGTGTGTTGGGTCATTGTCCTGTTGAAAAACAAATTATAGTCCCACTAAGCCCAAACCAGATGGGATGGCGTATCGATGCAGAATGCTGTGGTAGCCATGCTGGTTAATTGTGCCTTGAATTCTAAATAAATCACAGACAGTGTCACCAGCAAAGCACCCCCACACCATAAAACCTCCTCCTCCATGCTTTACGGTGGGAAATACACATGCAGAGATCATCCGTTCACCCACACCTTATCTCACAAAGACACGGCGGTTGGAACCAAAAATCTCCAATAGGGTTATCTTCAATAGACCCCCCCCCCCCCCACCTATTTGAAGAATCTCAAATATAAAATATTTGTTTTAACACTTTTTTGGTTACTACATGATTCCATATGTGTTATTTCATAGTTTTGATGTCTTCACTATTATTCTACAATGTAGAAAAATAGTAAAAATAAAGAAAAACCCTTGCATGAGTAGGTGTTCTAAAATATTTGACCAGTAGTGTATGTGTTGTAAAGCTCTGTCACTACATGTCCAGGCCATGCTAGTCAGGTGTCTGTGGGGTTGTTGTGAAAGCATTATCAGTGTCACTGGGTTTGTTCGGAAGGGGCAGGGCTATTATTGAAAGCTGATAATAGTTGCTCTGGAGGGGAAGAAAACACAGAACAGAGGGGATACTTTCATGATCCCATTAGCATAGGAGTGACTCAATTATTCATGCCGAGTGCTTAATCTATGGGGAAAAGTATAGTTAATGCACATAGTTTTAAAATGGATCCCTCCCGCTCCCTCAGCTCCCTCCACTCCGCACTGAGGCCAGATTCGTGCTGGATTCAGCATTCACAGGCATTTACGGGAACAGGGCCTCACTCTCTCTCACACACACAGACGAACGTTGGTGTACACACATACACACTCACTCACTCACTCACTCACATGCGCGCTGCTTTGCTCCAAGCTGTTTCAAGGGGCTCAGCTCTCAGGCTCATCCCCCTCTGTCTTTTAGTCTCTCTCTTTCTCTCTCTCTTTCCCTCTCTCACTCACTCCAGCACCACAGACTATCTGGCCCTCTTCCAAAAGGTGATTAAACAGAATGATCAGCTCCCTCTCTTTCTTTCTCCAGTCCTCCCTCCCCTTCCCCCTCTCTCACTGTGTAACATGCTCAAATCTGTGGATTAAGAAAAAAACACACATCAAAAGAAGAAGAAAAAAAGTAGCGTTAATGCCCTCCAGTAAGTCAACCAGAGGACTTCCAATAACGTCATTTTTCACCCCCTCCCTCCCTCCTCCTCTTCCCTGCTTCCCCCTCCAGTTTGCACCCCAAGCACTCTCCTCTTTCTCCCCTCCAATCCTCTCCTCTCTTCCTCTCATCCTTTCCCTTTGGTTCTCAGATGTTC